CAGAGAGAGAGAGAGGGAGGGAGGAAGGGAGTTTAAACTCGGCTTAACTCCTTACAGTCTTGGAAAAATTGCGGGCGTCTGGTGCACGCGTAATACGCGGGTTACCCTATCGCGTAACGCGCGCGGCAAGTCGCCACCAACGGTACGAGCATCTAGTACGAAGCGTAGGAGGTTTGGCGTAAGCGGTAAGCTTTACCTCATTTCTGGCAATTACTGGGGATGCCAGAATCCGCCGCAAGAATCAAGCCGCACCGGCCTCGCGTACGTGTGTACGTGCGCGCCCCCCCCCCCCGTGCAAGCGTGGTGTGTGGCGTCCGTGTACGCGAGCAACCCCTCGGTGTCGCGCGTGTGCGCGCGCTCAATCCCTCGTTGTATCCATCCCTCGAGCCGATCCACACTCGAGCCAGCCACGTACCCGCACACGGGAGGGCCGACGTGGTGGACGTACGGTGTCGCAGAAGCCCGACTCCGAGAGTCCCCCTCCTCTTCCCCTGCGCGAATTAACCCCACCTAAAACCCTGCCAGGGGGAGAGGGTGACGCGTTTCCAGTGGCGGTTGAGCACCACTGCCTCGCCATGTTCTCGGATCCAGACCCGGATTGGCTCGAAATTCCGCGAACAGCGACGGGGATTCGTGGAGCCAGGCCACGCCTCGTACGCCAACTCCTGGACCACCTCTTCCCATCCAACCTCGTACTCGGTTACTTGGTAGTTGTGCGCTACACAACAAAGGCCACCCCGCTGCTCGGCCAACCGACTAGTCCTCGTTGGCACGACGCACGCTCAACAACTTCGACCTTAACCGGCCGCAATTTTATTTCACCTCTGACCCGCCGCCGCTTCCTCCACGAGTTAACGAATCCACATACCGTTTCTTCGATCTTTCGTTCCGTCCATTCTTTCCAAACCTGAATTCAACGGCTGAAAATAGGACGGGGCACGGATTTTTGGAGCGGTTTTTAGATCGGACGGACAGGCGAGCTGCAATTGTTCGAGATCTAGGATCGGGGGAAGGAAGGAAGAGTCGGTGCAGAAGCCTCGCGTGATGTTATCGAGAATTGTATCGCCGAATCGTTGGACGGGATAGAAGAGGAGGAGGAGGAGGAAATTGTGGAGTGTGGAAGAAATTGGAGACGAGCGAAAGAAATTTTTAATTAAAATATGTGTCGTTGTGCGGCAAGGACGAGTCATGAGAGGTGTAGTAGCGAAGCAATGGTATCGTCGTAGAGTTATGTGTACCATCGTGCGGACATTGTAACCCAGTAAATAAACAGACTCGATCTTACTCGACGAGTAACGCTACGTGTACGAAAACTGTTGAGATGGTGTTGGATGATATAATTCTTAGTAATCCGAGTGTACATTGATAAGAACGTTTTGCAACGGAGATAGAAGATACGATACGTGGTGGAACGACGGTCTGCCTTCAAAATGTATCTTGAAATTCACGTGTATTGGACAATCGTTTCGTGTATCGATTAAGCGGTAGTGTGTTTTGAAAGGATCGCCGTTGTTTCGAGAGAGATCCTTTCGTTGGAAAGGATAGGCAATAAAAATAAACACGATAACCTTAACCGGGATCGCACTTTTGGATTTTTTCCCACAATGGATTCCCAACAGCTCGTCGACACTGCGTCGCAGAACAGCCAGGACATCGTCCTGCCGAAACCAGCGAGTAGTACGCCTAGGCACAGCATCGACGCGATCCTTGGACTGGCAAACAATAAAAGGAGTCATCAGGAAATGGAGGATAACGGTCGAGACGCGCAGGAAAACACAGGTAACACATATATATTATTCTCATTCCTTGATTCATGGAATAAGTGATAAGAGGTTAAAGCGAAGATTGCATAACGAATATACGTTTTTGAATTTCAATTTTTAGATGTTTGAACGTAACGACTAAGTGGAAACTCAATTATGCAATTTTCTGAATTGGTTTTTAAATCAATTAGTGTTTTAATTCAACTTTTAAGTTACGAGAGAGAGAGAGAGAGAGAGAGAGAGAGAGAGAGAGAGAGGGGAGAGAGAGAACGAGTTATTGTCAATCATGTTTGATTAACGAAATAATTTCTTTAAAACAGGAATTAGGAACAAAATATATGCGTATAATTAATTTTTATCCGTTTCGACGTGATCCGTTTATTAAAATTACTGCAAATTAAACGGTTGATAAGACGTAATTAATATAAAACGTCCATGGTCTCTTCCGTCGGATTGGTACGAGAGAGTCACGAGAGATCGAGTGGAGCGAGCGAGCCGCCCCAGAGTATCGGATCCAGAACTGGCAAATCCCAAAACGGCTCAAGTTACCCTTGGAGACTTATTAATAAAGCAGATTCGATCAATCATTTCATCCAATTACTGCTTTCGAACCGAGATTTTGATTTAATCATCGTATCGTCAACGAGAAACATGATCAGTCGAGAATGATCAAGTAAATTCTCACGATGTTCTCCGAGTAGTAATTTTACGTGAGATAAAATTCTCAAAGATCGCACGATACGCACGTTAGAGAATTATCATTATCGTCGAAAGTTTATTCCCGATTAACGATTACGTTTCAATTTCTTTATTCAGAGAAATTAACGGAGTCGATGTCCATAGTGTATATACTAGCTAGTTGCTTCGATACGTTGTGTATGTCGCGATTAACAGGACAAATAAATTGGCGTACCGTGTGCGTGACAGTATTCTTCGTAACGGGTCGGTTAATGATACGTTAGTTAGGCAAATTGAGATGACGCTCGCGATAATTTTACCCTACGAAAGCATCGATACGATACATCTTATACTTTGCCCTGCGACGCTAATTATCAAAATGTAGCGCGTACGTGGTCAGCTAGCCTCATCAACGACGAATCGAGAGAATTAATTAACTCGTTGACTCCGAGATTGTTTATTACGTCCAATTATACATCTCGTTATTGCTTAATCGTATACCTTTGTACCGAGTTATCTCAGCTCAATTTGAAATCGACTAAATCGAAGATTCCCTTCGCATCCGACGTTAATATCATTGAGTAATACTTATCAAATAGAACACCTACACGGGGACAAAATGCGGTTAATCAAATCCGAGCTAAAGTACATTCGACAAATTTACTTTACGATCCGGTAACAACAAATCCCATTACGTAAATCGGTGTGCATTATAAATTCTTCCCGATTTTCAATAATCGTTCCACCAACTCTTTCATCCCTCGCTCAAATATTAATCTTCCCATTCACGATACGATTGCCCATTCATAAACGAAGCGCTTGCACTCGCCTCCATCCTCCTCCCTCCCTTCAACTTGAATCCACCCCCTCGACGATAGTATAACAACCCTCGAAATTAAGATCGCATCGATCCCTCCTCCCTCCCCTCCTCTGGGAATCTTCCCAGAATTCGACGGTCAACGAATTATTCGCGGCGAAATGCAACGGTGGCGTAATTGAAAAATCGTTAGTATCGCGACGATCTGGTTGCCCGTGGCAGGGGAGGGGGAGGGACACGCGGGCTCTGTGCACGCGGCTAATTAGTCGTCCGGGTTTCGAAATCGGTGGTGCGCCACTGGCTCGGCCTCCTATACACCCAACGTATATCCGATAATTCCAATTTCGAGAACAGAACCGTCGTCCTCTTGATCGTTGTCGTTGCGAAAACGTTTCTAGCCACCGACTGTCCTTTATAATGTCACTCGCCTCTGTATCGGCTGCACGCGGTTCGCACAGCTATCGACGCGACACTCTCGCCGGAAGGGTCAAAATCGACAAAACAATTTTGTACGGGCGATGGACCTCGTTCCTTCTTTTTTTCCTCTCTCTCTTTTTTCTTTTTTTTCCTTCTGTGATCTGCGTCATCGAAAGCCACCGTTAACGAAAAAAATTACGCTTTGAAAGAGGGATGGGGAGAGAAAGAGAAGTAGTATCAATCGATGATACGTACACGAGTGATACGAGAATCCGCAACCAGTTTCGACGGAGAGGAATTAACCGTGGATTCCATCCTCTTCCGGTCGATATTCCGTTTGTTGTATTGGCTAAGCTTCGTGTAATCTCGTTGGCCGCGACTGGATTACGGTAATCGATAACCGAAACGCTTTTGCATAATGCACTTGTCGTTTGTCACCGTCTCTGGTAGGAGATCGGTTCGTTGCAATCTCTCTGGACTCGGGACAGATCGATACGGGGGGGTGGTGGTGGTATGGAAGGAAAGAAAGTCATCGTGGATGACTTTCTGATTTATTTGCCACGCGGTTTTGACTCCTCCTCCTCCTCCTCCTCCTTCTCCTCCTCTTCTTCTTCTTCTTCTTCTTCGCCGATTAATGTGCCCCGATAGCGAGAGATTGTTCGAGCGTCCATCAATCGCTGGCGTTTGGTAGCCGGAGTGCATAAGTAGCCCTCGATTTATCTTTATTTGATTGTATTAAGTTGGATCCGCGGCGTGAAGAGAGGCGGACAAAGAGATGGGACGTCGTCGAATTCGAGATCGGAAGTGAATCGAATCGAAGACTATTTTGTATAATTGATGAAAGAGTTTGAGCAATGGATACGCAGTTGGTTAATGGAAGCGTGGGATTGAAAAGCGATCTTATTTCTAAAAAAAAAAAGCGGTGCCTCTTCCGTGAAATTCCGCGGACAATTTTCAAAACTGTAAAACTATAAAAGATTTATTCGTAATTTCTTCCGCGAGGATTAACGGTAATCGAGTCGTTTATATCGTGGCATTTCGCGGAAGCTTTTTTTCCAATTTGTGGCGAGAAAATTGAAAGAATGGAGGTGGAGAGTTGCGGACGGGGCGGACAGGGAATATTAAGAAAAAAGGAAGAAGAAAATCGGGGAGGGAAAGAACGGAGGCTGCTTAGCTAGGGTTCAAGTTTTGTTCTACTAATCGAATTATCATTAATTATGATACCGTATGAGAGAAAGAAGAAAAGATAGAAGGGAGAGATCGGTCCTCGCTAATAAGTAGGAGAGAGGGAAAGGAGAATAGAAGAGAGATAACTGAGAGAGAGAGAGAGAGAGAAAGAGCAAAAAAAGATAGATGGAAGCGGCTTTAAGTCAGTCGCTTCTTAAGAGCTGAATTGACGTGTCTACTAATGGATCGCGCCTGCCCCATCTTACTTTCTTCCTCAATCTCTTTTTCGTCGTCTTATTCTTTCCATCTTGTTTGCCTTTTCTTCTTCTTTTTCTTCTTCTTCTTCTTCTTCTTCTTCTTCGTATACCGCTACTATTACAGATACGGCTACTTTCGCAGCTTTAAAACAGATCTGTTATCTTCGAGTGGATTCTGCGCGTCTCTCTCCAATCATCGAGATTGGATTCCGATACGTTCCTGAGAGATCCACAATTTCCACTAGGTTTTAATTAGAACGGACGTTTCGTAGTCAATCGAAGATTTCTTAAAGTTAAAGATATTAAAAAAAAAAAAAAAAAGAAGGAAAAAGAACGTCTCCATTTCGATAATATCTTAACAATCCTGACGATCGTCTTTTCAAATTGTATTCTATCCCTACATTGATACCAAAACTGCAGATTATATCCGTATTTTTCCCTCGTGATATTTTTCAACGATTATCTTCTCGCACAAACGTGCCGCATAATACAATCATTCGTGGAAAAAAGCAAAGCGGAAGGACGGTTAAGCGGGAAACGTTTTGCTCGCATTTTCATATAACGCGACATTTTGCTTGCCTGTCGCCCGTTTTAATTTCCCCTCGGTCGTGCGTTTAATGAAACGAATCTCTCGCGCTGGATCAATCCTCCGGACGTGTGCGGACCGATCGTTAATATTTTCAGTTAGACGAGAGATTAATCATTCGTATCTCATCCGGTTTGCCGTGCCCTCTTTTCTCTTCCTTTCTCTCTCCTTCCCTCCCTCTCTCTGTCTCTCTTCTCCTTCTATCCAGGATCATCGATTATTATTCCTTTGAGCCGTGGCGCTAATGAATTCGACTACTTATGTTAATGTAAGAAATATTACCAATCTAGTTAGGCGTGCTCGACAAGTTTTTCCGCGCCGAGGGATATAATTCGAAGTGACGGGTTGTTGAGATAAATCGATTTCGATGGATGAATTAAGGGGCGGGGGTGGGCGAGGAAGGAGGAGGAATAAAGATGGGAGGGGGGAGGAAAAAATGAACGAAAAGGAAAAGGCGGGAGGAGCGTTAAGTGTGGCGCAATCAATCTTACCTTGTACGCGCGCGCTGGAAGATTAATGCACTTTCAAATTTCATTAATTCTTCGCTGCATAATGAGCCGCAGGGCGAACGAATAACTTTCCTTAACGCCGCGATAATGCCGTCGAGACTCCGCACCGTAATTGCATCAATTCCTTGGTAATTCGCACAATTATCCTTTCTGATTTTCCGCCCGGCACCGAGCTAACTGCTCGAGAGCACGCTTCCAATTAATCACGCGCGGCCTCCACGAATCTCCCCGCGTAATTAAAGTATGTCGTTGCTACGAATCAGAACAATTAATCGGGTGTCTTTGTGGGAGATCCGAGAACGAGCTTTCCCAAACGATCGAGTCTTTGACTTTCTCTCTCTCTCTTTCTCTCTCTCTTTCTGCTTCCAAGATGGTAACATACTTTGTTGTACCGATATAATCGAACGATTTTTTCGTCGAAATTTTTATGGAGGAGGGTATAAAGTTGCGACTCGAACGTTTGTCTGAAGAATATTTCAATTTCGATTCAATTAAGGATTATCGTGTTTCGTTCGAAGATTATATTTATACTCGGCAATGACATAGTAGATGCAAAGGTGTGAGATCTTTCGATGAGCAGCTTCA